GCATAACAGCAAAATCTTTTATTTTTTGTTTGAATAAAAAGTTAGAAAATAGAAAGTAAGAGTAATATCAGAGGGAGCATGGAGAGACGTGTAGCTGATGAACAAAAAAAAAATGTTATTTTAGAGCCCAGGACAGTCTGCATTGAGTGCATTGTTAATGTCTGGACCCTATTTTGAAATTGGCATATTTTTAATCTGCATGAAATTGGGCCAAATTGCAAATTTTCTGACGCAGCGTTATTGGGTAGCGAAATCAGTAAATTGGCCTAGGCACCCCTCTCTACACCACACCGAGTTAACATTGTACTCAAAAAGACGATAGAACAAATGCATATCTAACGAAACTAGCTGAGATTTTTGGTCCGACTGGAACAATGGAATTAGCCAAAAATAGGCTAAAATTTTCCCCAAAAGCCAGTATCATCGCAAAATAACGTCAATTCCCATTTTTTATTTGATTCCCCATAATTTAATCCCACCCCTCTCCCGAACACCCTAGCATTTACTTCTTTTACAACTCCATCTATAAATGTTAAACAACCATGGTGACATTACACATCCCTGTCTAAGACCTACTTTTACCGGGAAGTAGTCTCCCTCTCTTCTACACACCCTAACCTGAGCCTCACCATTCTCATAAAAACTCTTTACAGCATTTAGTAACTTACCACCTATTCCATATACTTGCAACATCTGCCACATTGCTCCCCTATCCACTATCATATGCCTTTTCTAAATCCACAAATTTCATCAGGAGCACTGCAATTTAACCATCTGTACACTGTTAGCTGATAGTCTTGACATATGGAAACAAATCCCCTACAACCCTTTTCCTCATTTAATCTCCAATTAAAGTAAGCAAAACTCCCAAAAAATGAATAAGCTTTAATAATCATTTGCATCAGCATTCTGAGCTTGCTAAATACCAGTCAAGAATCCCTGGAAAAAGCATACATCAGCAGGTACTGGACACCACACACAAAACAAGAAGCAGAAAAAAATAAAATGATGGAGCTGGATACATCAAAGGCAGTGGGTCATGACTCACCACTTATTCTGCGAGGGGAAACAGCAGTGTCTAAACCGCTAGCTGTCATACAAGTCGAACATGGAACAGTTGCCCGAGATGTGGCAAAGCTAATGTAGTATCTACATTTATGAAAGGAGACAGGTGGGTGGTACTAAACTAAATGCCAGTTTCACTGACATGAATATCATGCAAGGTAATGAAGATAGTCAGAACTGTAGAAGAGCACTTGGAGAAAAGTGGTTTCACAATAACAACCAGTGTTGGTTCAGAGATGGCATGTCTTAGTTTACCAACCTTTAGAAATTGACAAACTAACTTAAGTTCAATAAGACGAGGGTTGGGTAGATCACATTTTATTAGACAGCAAGAACACATTTGATGCTGTACCCACACAAGATTGAGGCAAAAACTTGAGAAGCAGGTAGGAACAACTGGGAACGTACTCCAGTGAATCACAGAGTACCATACGGAAAGTTAGCAGAGCGATTGTCCAGGAAGAGATGTCAGAATGGGGAGAGTAACAAGGGTACCACAAAGATTGGTATTAGGACCAGTGATGTTTCTGGTTTATGCAGATGGAACAGTCAGATGTATTTCTATTCATTGACTATGTAAATCTAATGAGAATACACAGAAGAGAACGAAGAGGACAAAAATGAAGAATAATCCAATCCCAGCAAATGAAAGGTTATGAAGGCTGGGGAAGAGCCCAGAAGACCAGATAGTACAGACCTGTGGGACAGAGGCTGTAGACCACATTCAGAGACGACCTGCAAATAAGCACAGTGCCTAACAACCAAACAACCTGTAGCCAATGTTCCCTTGCCAAATCTGAGTGTGCCCTCCACGAATCTCAACAGTCATTCTGGGTGCTTTATGCAACATACGTTAGGCCCGTCTTGGAGTACGCAGCACCAATATGGAACCCATGCCCAAGGAAATATGTAGACACTGGAAAATGTGCACAAATAGGCAATGAGACTAGTCCCAGAGCTAAGGGGTATGAGTTACAAGGAAAGGCTTGAAGAATTGAATCTAATGACCCTGTTGGACAAAGGGACCAGAGTAGACATAACATACAAAATGCTCCTATGAACTGATAGGACAGACGGGCAACCTGTTTCAGAGGTGGGAAATAGTAACTTTGGGGCACAGCTGGAAGCTAAAGACAGATGAGTCACAAGGATGTTTAAGAGTAGTATTTCTTGTCTCAGGGTGGTCAGGAAGTGGAGTGACTTCATTGAAGTGGGCTAGGAAAGTGAATTTGTCAAGAGGCAAGAGGTGGAGCCAGGAACTAAGACCCGGCCCCTTAACCCTTTGAGGGTTTTCGTCGTACTAGTACGTCTTACGCGTAGGGGTTTTTGACGTACTAGTACTCATAAATTCTAGCGGCCTCAAATCTAGTGGGAGAAAGCTGGTAGGCCTTCATATGAAAGAATGGGTCTATGTGGTCAGTGTGCACAGTCTAAAAAAAATCCTGCAGCACACAGTGCATAATGAGAAAAAAAAAACTTTGACCATTTTTTTTTAATAAATCAGCGACTTTGCAGTGTATTTTCGTATGGTATTTATTGTTGTATTCTAGTTTTCTTGGTCTCATTTTATAGAATGGAAGACATATTACAGAAATAGAGATGATTTTGACTGGTTTTACAAAGAAAGCTGCCTTGAAATTGAGCTCAAAGTAGCAGAAATGTTCGATTTTTACCAAACTTCAAAAGTAAACAAATCGTGCCAAGCGTGCAATACACGTCAACTGGTGAGTCTAATATTCTTTCACAAAGTGCACCAATAATATTTATACCATTTTTTACACTAATGCAGTAGTCTGCATAACAGTAAATCTTATATTTTTTGTGAAAATAAAAATTCAAAGTGGAAAGCAAAAGAGTATAAGAGGGGCCTTGAGATGTGAATAATGACTAGAGGAAATGTCATTTTAGTGCCAGGAATGTCTTTCTTGTTTATTCTGGACCCTATTCGGAAATTGGCATCTTTTGAAATTTGTGTGAAATTGGCAAAATTGCTAAATTCTGACCACTGTACTGGATAGTTGAATTTCATAAATGAGTGGTTTCTTGCACCCATTCGATAGAAAAAATGGAGTTCTAGCATGCGAAATATTCATGTTTTTTGTCGACTAGTACAGTGAAATTGGCCGAAAATGGGGCTCAAAGTGGGCAAAATCGCCAATGCGTAAACATCGCCGAGACCGCTAACTTTGCGAGAGCATAATTCCGTAAGTTTTCTATCAAATTTCAAACTTTTGGTGTCTTTATGATCGGGAAAAGATTCTCTATCTTTTCATAAGAAAAAATAATTTTTTTTTTTTTTAAATTTGGCCGACCCTGAGAACGAGTTTTGGAGAGGGCCTGTCGACCCTCAAAGGGTTAAACCACAAACAAGATAGTACAGGTCTCCCTCAACATTCACGTTTTCAACTTTCACGGGCTTCACACATTCATGAATTCCCAACCGCCAAATTCCCAGCCACCAAATTCCCAGCCACCAAATCATATTTAAGCTTCCCGCCACCTGCGAGTCCCTACTACCCTCCCTCTGACCCCCGCAACTGGCAGCCAGCCTCCACCACTCAGTGTGGCGAGTGTTTTGTTTGTTCATTATTTGCTATTAAACTACAGTATAAATAATGTAAACCCATTCATGACTGCATATTGGAATGGCTATTCGGACAGGTATTAGACTGTGACATCATGTGTTTACTCTTGAACACTGCAAAGAATTAAACATTTCTGCTACAGCTAATAATAATAATGATAATGATAATAATAATAATAATAATAAATAATAAATAATAAATAATAAATAATAATAATAATAATAATAATAATAATAATAATGAATATGATATAATTGAAGAAGGAAATTGTACGAAAATACGAGGGAGTGGTTGACACATCGTCAGTGTGACTTTGTTTATGCTGGAGTGAACATTGTCTCCCTGCTCTTCCAAACATTTCACAATAATTCATTGTGTTTGGTGCTTGTAGACTGAGTGTGACTGGAGTGGTAGAGGCAGTGATGATTGAGGCAATGGTATTTAATAACATACATGTTAATAACAATACAAGTTATTAATAATAACATGTACTATTATTATTTATAACATGTATGTTATTAAATACCACTGCCTCAACCGCTGAATTATTGTGAAATGTTTGGAAGAGCAGGGAGACTAATGTTCACTCCAGCATAAACAAAGTCACACTGACAATGTGTCAACCATTCCCTCGTATTTTTGTACAATTTCCTTCTTCAATTATATCATATTTATTATTATTATTATTATTATTATTACTATTGTTATTATTAGCAATAGCAGAAATGTTCGATTCTTTGCCGTGTTCAAGAATAAACAGATGATGTCACCGTCTAACACCTTTCCTAATAGCCATTCCAATATGCAGTCATGAATGGGTTTACATTATTTATTCTGTAGTTTAATAGCAAATAATGAACAAACAAAACACTCGCCACACTGAGTGGTGGGAGGGCTGGCTGCCAGTTGCGGGGGTCGGAGAGAGGGTAGTAGGGACTCGCAGTGGTGGAGGCAGTGGTGGAGGCACTGGTGGAAGCAGTGGTGGAGTCTGTGGTATTTAATAACATACATGTTATTAACATACATGTTATTAAATAACATACATTATTAAAGCATAACATGTATATATTTAGTACAATTTACGACGTTTTCATGTATTTTATGATTATTCATGGTTCAACAAGTTAAGGAATCAGTACTGTAATATATTTCCCTACAATATATTGGGGCACCAAACATTCACGGTTTTTCAACATTCGTGAGGCTCTTGATCCCCTAACCCTCGCGAATGTTGAGGGAGACCTGTACACAACTATAGTATCATGTATCAAATAAGAGAAATCTCTGTACAGCATATAGCAAACACATTTTTGCTTATAAATAATTGAAGCAGATTAATACAGAACTTACCAATGGTACGGATTCTACTTCACAAAATTCAACATAAGCAATTCCCTTTGATCTGCGTGTCTTAGTGTCTGTGATGATACGAACATCATTCACCTTCCCTACAACACTGAAGAAGTCCTCCAAATCTCGCGAGCGAATACGAGATGAAAGTTGCATGCAGAACACAGTTCGAGCATCTCTCTCTTCTACAGACAGTTCTCTGGAAAAAATGGTAACTTAATAATTTGTGTAGCAAATATATATTAAGTCAAACATGGTACTTAGTAACCACACTCTTTTTTGGACTAATTCAATATGAATCATAAATAACCCCAATGAATACTGACAACAGGAAGGGTTGATTGTGCTTGAAATAAAACAGTGCAACAGGACTATTTTACTGACATACAGAAAAACAATAACGTGATGAGTGTGTACGGTGAAAATGGGCGATTAAAATGCAGAAAAGGTTAGGCAATTAATATTTTGAGATTAACAATTTGCATACATGGAACACAAAAGAAAATTATGGAAAAGAAAGGGTAAGGATAATCGGAGATTTTACGTTATGAAAAGTAAAAGGCATAACTATGGATGAAAGAAATCTAACAAATATAAATAATGTTTGAAACTGAAATCTGGATATAAGAAGATACTATATACTTGTTAAGATTAGAGGACGCTGGAGGCAATAGACATGTCATGCCTGAGACCAAAGTGCTATGTAAGCCATTACGTAGTGAATTAAGAGCTTAGAGATTAGAGGGTTACCAAAAACATTATTCAGCAGGCTAATAAGGGGATGTAGGGGTGGTTTGGATATTCAAAGAATGGAGCAAAGCAGGATGACTAGGATGATGTATGGATCTAGGTGGAGAAAAGGAGTAGGAGTCATCCCAGGAAATGGAGATGGGAAGGGGGGAGTTGTTTTGGATCCTAGTGGCTTGGATATCCAACAAGTCTGTGAGAGCTCATTAGACTGGAATGGAGAATCTTCATAGAGGTGTAAAGAAAAATTAACACTACATGGATAATTAGCCCTTTCACTGTTACTAACAAAGATCAGTAACAATAATAGCACCTTCAAATATTCTGTGATCAGTAAATTTTGTCCTAGATATTAGAAAATGGGTCTATACAGTGGAGGGTGTACAGCATAAAAACAAATCCTGCCCTATGCAGTGCATGTTGGGAACATCAAACCTTTGAAACTGTGGTTAAGTAAAAATAGTGAGTAATTGTCTAGTGTAGTTTTTATGCTTTATTGGCATTTCTTGGCATCAGGTACACTGGAAAACATAGTGAAATGATGATTTGGTTGTTTCAGAGAGGAAGTAGCCTGAAACAGCCCTCAAAGAGCAGTAATATGCATTAGATTTATAGCAATTTACCTGAGGAAGGGTAAGTGTCCCCCCTCCTATTTGTTTTATGGGTTTTTACTAGGTTTCCTTCAATTATTTAGACAGTCGAAACTATGATCAATCAACCTATTCTAGGAATAGGATGACGTTTATTTGTGATGATGGATTCAATATAGAGAGCTAATGTTATACACAAACCTGAGAACGTGATTAATGAAAAGAAGGACTGTAGTGACTGGAATGCCCGGTGCTTATTTTGGACTTTTAAATCTGAATTTACAATATTAGCCAAATTACCAATTCTAGGCCCTTTTAAGGTAACTCTGTTCGCTGAATCAGTAGCTCTTGTGTTCAACTGATAGAATGGAACATATAGCATAACAGCCAGGAAATGGGTCAGTGAGTAAAAATAAGCCTCAAATTGGGTGAAATCACAGTGTTCTTGACTTCCAACCTTGTGCTTGTGTTAATCCATAAGTTTTCCATCAAATTTCACATTTTTGGTGTATGGTGTAGGAGGTAGGTTACTGAAAGCAGTGAAGAGTTTTTACGAGGATAGTGAGGCTCAAGTTAGAGTATGTAGGAAAGAGGGAAATTTTTTCCCAGTAAAAGTAGGCCTTAGACAAGGATGTGTGATGTCACCGTGGTTGTTTAATATATTTATAGATGGGGTTGTAAGAGAAGTAATGCGAGGGTCTTGGCAAGAGGCGTGGAGTTAAAAGATAAAGAATCACACACAAAGTGGGAGTTGTCACAGCTGCTCTTTGCTGATGACACTGTGCTCTTGGGAGATTCTGAAGAGAAGTTGCAGAGATTGGTGGATGAATTTGGTAGGGTGTGCAAAAGAAGAAAATTAAAGGTGAATACAGGAAAGAGTAAGGTTATGAGGATAACAAAAAGATTAGGTGATGAAAGATTGAATATCAGATTGGAGGGAGAGAGTATGGAGGAGGTGAATGTATTCAGATATTTGGGAGTGGACGTGTCAGGGATGGGTCTAGAAAGATGAGGTGAATCATAGAATTGAGGGGAAAAGAGTGAGTGGTGCACTTAGGAGTCTGTGGAGACAAAGAACTTTGTCCTTGGAGGCAAAGAGGGGAATGTATGAGAGTATAGTTTTACCAACGCTCTTATATGGGTGTGAAGCATGGGTGATGAATGTTGCAGCGAGGAGAAGGCTGGAGGCAGTGGAGATGTCATGTCTGAGGGCAATGTGTGATGTGAATATAATGCAGAGAATTCGTAGTTTGGAAGTTAGGAGGAGGTGCAGGATTACCAAAACTGTGTCCAGAGGGTGAGGAAGGGTTGTTGAGGTGGTTCAGACATGTAGAGAGAATGGAGCGAAACAGAATGACTTCAAGAGTGTATCAGTCTGTAGTGGAAGGAAGGCGGGGTAGGGGTCGGCCTAGGAAAGGTTGGAGAGAGGGGGTAAAGGAGGTTTTGTGTGCGAGGGGCTTGGACTTCCAGCAGGCATGCGTGAGCGTGTTTGATAGGAGTGAATAGAGACAAATGGTTTTTAATACTTGACGTGCTGTTGGAGTGTGAGCAAAGTAACATTTATGAAGGGGTTCAGGGAAACTGGCAGGCCGGACTTGAGTCCTGGAGATGGGAAGTACAGTGCCTGCACTCTGAAGGAGGGGTGTTAATGTTGCAGTTTAAAAACAGTAGTGTAAAGCACCCTTCTGACAAGACAGTGATGGAGTGAATGATGGTGAAAGTTTTTCTTTTTCGGGCCGCCCTGCCTTGGTGGGAATCGGCCAGTGTGATGATGATAATAAATAAATTCCTTTCAGAAATAGATTCTTTACCATTTCAGATAATTTCTTTTTAAATCACAACAGTCAGCATTTTTTATTATTGGGGAAAGCAAACGAGTTAATGATACTTACTCTAAAAGTGTGCAAGTTAAAAAAAAATTACATGAAGGTTAAACTCACGTTTTTGGCGTTTTGCTCCTAGATCTGGAACGTCTATGTTCCTTGCTTCGACTTCTCCTACGACGATCATGGCTCGGGCTCCTACTGGCCCGGGTCCTGGACCCTATTTACGCGCTGTCACGGATCTGGCGAGATCT